AAAAGGTTGGTCTCTCCAACAAATGCTGTTGGGACAGTTGATTGTCTGCTTTCCAGAAGTAAGAAACAAAATCCCCACCTTTCATATTATACAAAAATTAGCTCTAAATGGATCAAGGACCTAAATCTGCACACAGAAACCATCCATTAGGGAAAAAAATAGGCAGCACTCTACAAGGTCTGCATAGGCAGAGACTTCTTAAGAAGTCCCCCAAAGCATAGGCAGTCAAAACCAAGATAAACAAATGGGATTTCATCAGACAAAGAAGCTTCTAAGCAGCAAAGGAAATCAACAAAGTAAAGAGGCAACCAACAGAATGGGAGAAAACGTTTGCATATCATACAACGAATAGGGATAAATCCACGATTAACAAACAACTCTGTTAAGAAATGGGTGACTTCAGTACCACATGTGTCATGCAGTAACATCATTTTCTTCAAGGTTTTTGATTTCCTTTTTTCATCACTTTAGCAACTCATTCTGTAGCATGTTGCATGCTAACTTCATGTTGATGCAAATTTTCTGTTTTTCTCCATACTGTGGATTGTGTTTTCTGGCTCAGTATTTAAAGGGAGTATGACAGAAATGTAGCAGAGACTGACATATCCCGATGTGGAGACATAGTGCAGTATGCATCTCTGCATCCAGATCAAAGACAGAGTCCTGGTGAAACTGTTGAATATGTTCTGACAGTAGGATGCTGGACATTCTGCCACTGTCCACGCCTAAAATGTCAGGAAGTACTTAGTAGTGGATTGATGGACTTATGACTGTTCACGAAGGGCTGCCTATTACAGTACTAGAGGGAAATTCAGTAAGTGGCTGAAGGGTCTTGAGGAGGAGGAGGGGAAATCTTAGAGCCAACGGAACTGTATCTCTGAAGAAAGAAAGAAAAAGAAAAAAGCAAGCAAGCAAGCAAGAGAAATGCACAAAATAAATGTGCAGGCATTTTTCAAAAGAAAAAAATTCAAATGGCTAATAGACATATGGAATAATGCTCAGGCTCCCTAGTTATTAAGAAAAAGCAGATGAAAACCACAGTGAGACATCACCTAACTCCAGTGACAATGGCCTACATACAGAAATCTACTAGCAACAACTGCTGGTGAGGAAGTGTGGAAAAAGGTACTCTGCTGCACTGTTGGCAGGAGTGTAACTTAGTGCAACCACTATGGAAATCCATAGAGAGAGTGCTCAGACAACTAACACTTGGTTTACTCTGTGACCCAGCTATCCCACTCCTGGGAATAAATCTAAATGAAGTGAAATTTTTATATGAGAAAGTGACATAGAACCGTATGTTTACAGCAGCACAATTCACAATAGTGAAGACATGGACACCATTGACAGAGGAATCGAAAAAGAAATTATGGTACAGCTACACCCATGGAATACTACTCAGCCATGAAAAAGGATGAGATTCTTTTCTTCTTTTTTAAAGATTTATTTATTTTTTTATTGGAAAGTCAGGTATACATAGGGGAGGACAGAGAAGAAGATCTTCCATCTGATGATTCACGCCCCAAGTGACCACAACAGCCAATGCTGCGCCAATCCAAAGCCAGGAGCCAGGAACATGGGTGCAGGGTCCCAAGGCTTTGGGCTGTCCTCAACTGCTTTCCCAGGCCACAAGCAGGGAGCTGGATGGGAAGTGGAGCTGCTGGGATTAGAACCGGGGCCCATATGGAATCCTGGCGTGTTCAGGGCGAGGACTTGAGCCACTAGGCCACGGTGCCGGGCCCAAAAAGGATGAAATTCTACTATTTGCAACAAACTGGTCACAACTAAAGATCACTAAGCTCAGTGAAATAAACTAATCTCAAAAGGACAAATATCCTAGGTTATCCCTGATAGATTATGACATTTATGCAAAATGAAAAACAAATACATATATAGATGAACTGCAAAATGGAGACTAGCACACTGGGAAGTGAAAAATACACTGCAGTAGGCATTTCTACTCTTGAATAAAAGGAGGAATCCTAGTGCAACGTTGTTGATATGATATTAAATTTTCTTTCTCTATATCTATAATGTCATGATGAACTCAAATAGCAAAATGTTAATCTTGCAACTGCTACTAAATACTATAGTACTGTAATTATAAGGGAGAACATTGTGGCAGGGTAATAGAGGAGGGAGAAAAGCAGGGGAATCCCAGCCTCCGCAAGAATGCATCACGAAAAATAATAAAAACAATTACAGAATCACACAAATCTTCAGTTTTCCAGTCATTGGAATGGAGAATATTATGTCTTGGGTAAATCCAGAACCTGAACCTGAAAGACCTGGAATGCTGTCGTGGCACAGGACAGGCGGAGCAAGAGCATTGGGAGAACAGACAATCAGCACTGGAGGGCCCGAGTTATGATACTGGATCTGCGTAATACCGTACGCAGTGACAGAACACAAGACACAGTCTTTCGCACTTTGTCTCTCTGATTGTAAAACAGGGTTCAGAACACCAGTCTGCCCCTCTACGAGGGATATGCTGAGAATTAAGTGTAATAATGATATCAGAGAATGTGCTCTTGCGCTATGCAGGGCTGGTAGGCTTGTGGAAATAGCACAGAAAGTTTGCGGAATAGCAGGTACAGGACATTTGGTCTCATGGATGTCCATGTTCCATATCAGAGTGCTTGGTTTTCCTTCTACAACAGACCTTGGGAGGTAGTGATGACTTAAGGACTTGGGTCCCTGCCAGCCACTTGGGACACTTGGATTAAGTTCCCAGATCCTGACTTTTTTGGCTACTGTAGGTATTTGAGGGGCGGGGAGGGAATCAGTGGCTATAAGTGATTTTTCTTCTGTCTTTATTAGTGATTGAGAAAGCAGCGTGCATGTCTGTGGTACTGCATGTTAAGCTGCTACTGGTATTCCAAATTTATAGTGTCAGAGTTGGAGCCTCATCTGTACTTCCAATCCAGCTTCCTGTTAATGTGTACCCTGGGAGGCAGCAGATGATTTGTCCAAGAACATGGGCCCCTGCCACTCATGTGGGAAACCCAAATGGACTTCCCAACTCCTACCTTCAGCCCCAGCTATTGTTGACATTTGGGGAGTAAACCAGTGGATGAACAGATAACCCATGCCATTTTGCATTTCAAACACCTAAAATTTGTGGAAAACCACAATTAAGACAAGGCGCTTTATCCATGAGGTTTCTGAAGTTCCTTTGTACTTGTACCGTTCTATAATTATTAGTAAATCTTATCTTTCAAAAAGGAAGCAAATTACAAAATGATACCTTGCAAGGGACCTATGAATAACAAATCCAGTTTGAAAAAGGAACCCATGGAGCGGTGTTTGGCCCAACATTTAAAATGCTACTTGGTGTGGAGGCACTGTGGCATAGCTGTTTAAGTTGCTGCCTTTGATGCCGATATTCCAATCTGGATGCTGGTTCAAGTCCTGCTGCTCCACTTTGATGCAGCTAATGCGCATCCTGGGGAATAACTAGTGAGGCTTCAAGTAGCTGGATCTCTGCCACCGCAGTGGGAGAGCTAGACTGCATTTCTGTCTGTGTTTCTGCTTAGCCCAGTGTCAGCTGTTGAGGGCAGTTGGGAAGTAAGGTCACAAACCAGAGGTCTCTGTGTCTCCCTTTCAAATTAATCAAGAAACACATACCCCAAACACTACCCCAGTAGTTCAAGAAGCAGTCAGGAGACTCAGTCCCAAGCAGATGGAGTATAAGCCATGTGAAATCTGCACGTGGCTTTCCCCCTTAGTTTCCTCTGCTATAAACCAGAGCAGTTACAGAACTCCCAGAACTTCTAGATCATAGTTCTGTGACTGTATTACAGTGTCAAGTATGAAATACAGTCTTTGAAATATGGCACAGATTTATTTGCCAAATCCTATAAATTAATGTCATTTTAATCAGAATGTTTTGAATAAAAGAGACATAATTTTTAAACTGACTAAGCCTGGAGCAGGGTTCATGTGAATGCATATTTTTTCTCAGAGAAAAATTAGTAGAACTTGTCTATGTGGCCACATGGGAAAGCATATCGCCCTCCAGATTGCATACTAGGAACAGCGATGGTAGGACGGCCGACAGGCAATGTTCAAAGCTGCTAAACTCATAATTTGTTACTGATGGAGAATATAAAGTTGGAAGTTAATATTAGGTCCAGAGTTAATTTGAAATGTTTACAGCTGAGAAATATTTTGGAAAGGCTTTTGACATAAGCCTTTTTTTTAAGTACAAGAACTTTTTTTCATTGCTGTTCTTAAGATTTTATTTATTGATTTTAAAGACAGACTAACAGAGAGAGACAGACAGATAAAGAGACATCTTCTGCCTGCTGGTTCACTCCCCAAATGGCTGCAAATGGCTCAGGTTCAGGCTGAAGTCAGGAGCCAGGAGCTTTTCCCAGGTCTCCCACATGAGTGAAGGTGCCCAAGGACACCTGCTGCCTTTTCCAGGCTGTTAGCTGGCAGCTGGATCAGAAGTGGAGCAGCTGGGATGCAAACTGGAGCCCACATAGGATGCAGGCTTTGCAGCTGATAGCTTACCAGCTGTACCAGTCCCAAGAGATGGATCTTAAAATTATGTATTAGATGATACAATGAAGCACCAAATAAAATATAAAACTCTCCAGAAATACTTTTAAGTGAATATCTCAAAATACATTAATTCTATTAGGCATTTGTGTAATATAAACTGACTATCTTAGATAATAGCTTTCTAAATTAGCTTCACATTGCATAATCTTGTTTGATTCATATCATTCATTTTTTGGTGAATTTTATTTCAAAATGCTACTCTAACAAAAACAAAAGACATATAGGTCTTCTAGAGCTTTTAGCGATATTGTTTCTTATAGTTTTGTAACAATATACACTTTCAAAATTCAACCAGAAAAATGATCTTAGTTTAAACTAGACAAACTCTTAACTTACTGTGCGACAATAGGTAATGAGAAATGGAGAAATTGCCCTTAAAAAAAAAGCAACTATCAATCATAGCAAATTACTTAGCAGATGAAGCTGCTTACTGTGTCATCAACTGTGAGCTGGGTCTGAAATCCGGGGACTTGTCCTTACTGCCAGGCTGCAGGGGAAGAAGGAGAGCGAGCAGTGAGTCCACACGGAGATGCAGCCACAGTCAGTGCTCACAAGCTGAAACCCCCAGCTCCCACAGCCAAGACAGCACACGCCCGCTCCCAACCAGAGCCTAAGCCCATCCTGACCACGCGTGTCCATCAGTGTCACACAGGCACTCCTTTGGAACGCCAGGAAGCAGTGCTCCACACAGCTAAGGCACTTCTACAAACAAAACCAGCTTTCAAGTTCTGAGAAAAAAAAAGTCTATCGTGAGTCACCCTAAATTCATCTCCAAATTCTAAGTAGTATATTAAACCTCCAAACTTATCTTTCTACGAGGCTTCTCTCCTTAGTAATTGTTTTAATACACTGTGTTTTCATTCTAATACTCCTGGAACTGCTAAGATTCTGAAGCTGAAGGTTCTTTAAATCTTTCTCAACAATTGCTTAGTAAGAATTGCTTTTATTAATGGCATCTTTGTGAGAAAAACAAATTAGTAAGCATTTTGAGGTAATAAATTCTACTGAATTTGATTATTCATTTAAAATTTGAAAATCAGCTCCAAACAAAAGAACAGTATTTTACAAGTCAATCTTATGCTGCTATAAATAGACTAAACATTTTTTATTATAAGTTATGAAACAGAAAGGATTCATTTAACATGCACAGGAATACATAAATGACTGGAGTTTTAAATTATATGCAAATGAAAGAGGTATATCATATTTATTCAAATCAAATTGCAAAAATAAAAACCAAGCAAAATGAGAGAAAATTCAGCCTTGTCTTTCGTTCTGGCTTGAGTTATTGTTGCTTTCCTAGTATTCTTCCTATGGAGGGCTGTTTTGTCGTTTCAGAAGTTCTACTTGACAATTAGATTTCTGCAATTATTCATCAGCAAGATTTACACTGAGCATATTTAAATAAGCATTACTTTGCTTTTGATAAAGATTCACAAGGATGTAGCTTCCTGCACCAGACATGTGTGATTATTATGGCTCGCAGTCTAACTTTGAATTCATTATGTAAATAATAAGAGTTAATAAGCAAAACACATTAAGTGTGAGAGGTGGCTGTTACGGTAAGCGACACAATACTGGCAGGATTGTAAAAGAACCAAGGATATCTTGATTTTGTCTATCTGTGAAACTGATTTGGCTCAGATATACCATGTTTGGGGAAAAAGAGTACATAACAAGGAAAATTTAAATGTGTACATATAGGAAGTTTTCAAAGACTGATTCAGTTGCAGAATAGCCTATCTGCCTTCAGCTAAGGGAGTAACATTCAAAGGAAACCACCAATACCTAATTCAGAAAGCATCAATCATATCAGAATTCCCTGTTTGAGAAATAAATTCTAAGCACAGCAATCAAATTAAAGGTAAAGTTCCTTCTTCTTTAAAAGCCTAGTCTTTGAATCTCTTTGTCCATGCCAACAACAGCATCTTAACATTTATATATATGAAACTTGGTAAAAGTACTGGATATTTTTAAAAAAGAACCCAACGTACTAGTTGTACTGTGAAATTCTCACCAACTTCAACTTATTCCAGAAGTTGAGGGTAGAGAAGTCAGTTTGGATTATATAATCATAGTAGAACCAATTTTGCAACATGTGGACACTAGCAGGTCTTCCCACCCCTGCTTGTAATAATCTGTTCTTCTGAAATGGATGCTGCAGTGTGAAGTCCTCAGGAAGTCTGTCCTAAGTAGGTTAGAGATGTCGCTGGCATCTTTCCTACTGTGTTAGCATATTTCCATAAATGGTGTACCCAATTCTTTTTTTATGATGCATAGGAGGCTTAGTCAGTATTCAAATCCCATCAATCCTAAATTAGAAGGAGACCCACATTTCGAAGCTTTAATACTTATCTGAACAGGACACTTATTTTATTAGGATCAATACCTGACTTCTAAATACCTTGGTCTCAACAACAGCTCGCCACATGGGCAGTGTGACTGGAGGAGGCAGAAAGAAGGGGAAGAAAGAGGTGTCTCTGTGTGGTGTTTTATTTTATCTTTAAACAAAAAAGCCCCAAGGCTGGAATGCAATCAGACCGTCAATACCCCCCACCCCCTACTGTCAAGGCCAAGGAGCAAGACTGTCCTTCTTGCCCTCCTTTCCACACGCACCTCTCAGGTGCTTTGTGCCTTCGTTTCCTCTTCATGGACACCCTTGATTTGGACAATAGGGGATGCAGAGAGGAAGATGAGCAAAGTGAAGATGATCAGTCAAAGGACGAGTCAAGAGGCTCTCACTTCCTCAAACTTCACAATTCTAGGAACGTTTGTTATTTTTTTTTAAAGATTTATTTTATTTTTATTGCAAAGTCAGATGTACAAAGAGGGAGAGATTCACTCCCCAAGCAACTGCAATGGCTGGAGCTGTGCTGAGCCAAAGCCAGGAGCCAGGAACTTCTTTCAGGTCTCCCACATGGGTGCAGGATCCCAAGGCTTTGGGCCGTCCTTGGCTGCTTCCCAGGCCACAAGCAGGGAGCTGGACGGGAAGCGGGGTGGCAGGGACATGAACTAGTGTCCATGTGGGATCTCAGTGAGGACTTCAGACATTAGACCTCTACATGGGGCCCTATAGGAACATTTCTACAGAGATTCACTGAGACATAAACATGGAAAGAATGATTAGTGAGATGATTTTAAATGCTTCTACTGACTACATGGAGATTTGCCAAGAAGAAAACAACTTGCTTCCTTAAACTTGAAAATGAATGAGGGCCTGCAAAGGAAAGTACACATGATCACAACACTGCTCTCCTATTTTACAGATGAGGCCCAGAGTCAGCAAGGGGAAGGCGTCTGATGGTCACATTAGTGTTCTTGCAATGTGATTGATTAATAAAACTACTTTTCAGCATAATTTTCTTCGGAAACCTCACCCATCCATGAAAGCACAATGACTGTAGAATCAAGCTGGCACGGTTGTCACCAACTGCCTGCAACCCTACCCCTCCAGAGCCTTTGGCAGACATCATTGCTCAACCCACTCCTGACTAGGGAAGGTTGGAAATTCTGTCTTCAGGAACTCAACTTGATACTGTCATGTAAGTTTGCAACAGGATCTTTGATGTTTACAATTTATCTTATCTTTTTTTTGTTTGGTTTTTAAGATTTATTTATTTATATTGGAAACTCAGATTTACAGAGAGAAGAGATGCAGAGAGAAAGAACTTTCATTCTTTGGTCTGCTCCCCAAGTAGCCACAATGGCCGGAGCCGATCTGGAGCCAGGAGCCAGGAGCCTCTTCAGGCTCTCTCACATGGACACAGAGTTTCAGGGCTTTGGGCCATTCTTCACTGCTTTTCCAGGCCACAAGCATGGAGCTAGAAGGGAAGTGGAGTAGCTGGGATACAAACTAGCACATTCAAGGCAAGGACTTTAGCCACTAGGCTACCACACTGGGCCCTCAACGTATCATTTCCTAATATCTAACTGAGCTGACACCAAATATGATGACAATATTCTTCCTTAAGAAAAAAATATGGAATTTTACCATAAAAGTAAAGATAAAATAGAGGAGGGAAAAAAAGATGCAGTGCCTAGAGGTGGGGTGTAGCAGAAAGCGAAGTCCATGTTGAATCATTGTTGGTTTTGGATGCTACTATGCCAATTAACATAGGAACAATACATACCTATGGAGCTCTACTCTGAGAGCAAGATTCAGGAAAAAGGTGTGTAGATGAGCAGTGCAGCCGAGTGGGCCATGCATCACCAGAAAGGTAAAAAGGGAATGTGTGGGAATATAGGGAGAGGGATTCTGAATTACACTGGAAAGTTCTGAGAAGTAGTCGTAGGAAGAGCTCTTGCTGAACTTTAAGAGTTAAACCGAAATTTGGGGGACACAAAAACTGTAACTATCTACAGATAATAGAGGGGAAAAAGTCTGATGGATATTTCTTGCTAGGCAGTATATTCAGGTGGGTGTTTGGAAGATAAGGGAAAATGTCAAAACTTCCGTTCAGTTTTTGACGGGTGGGACTCAGACACAAATTTACAAGTTAATGGACCAGCGCAACAACCTAGTGGCTGAAACTGGAATTCCAGAACTCTTTTCGCTCAGGTGGATTTATTTAATTAATTATTTTTATTGCAAAGTCAGATACACAGAAAGGATGAGAGACAGAGAAGAACATCTTCTGTCTGATGGTTCACTCCCCAAGTGATCACAATGGCCAGAGCTGCATTGAGCCAAACCTAGGAGCTTGGAACTTCCTCCAGGTCTCCCATGCAGGTGCAGGGTCCTAAGGCTTTGGGCCATCCTCAACTGCCCTCTCAGGCCACAAGCAGGGAGCTGGATGGAAACAGAGCTGCCAGGATTAGAACTGATGCCCATATGGGATTCCAGCACATGCAAGATCAGGACTTTAGTTACTATGTTACCGTGCTCAGATGGATTTAGCTATCAAGTCCCAGCTTCTCCCTATTCCCGACTCATATGACTGCAAGCATCTCAATTTCCTTCAGTGCTGCTTTCAGAGCTTCTAAAAAGTCTTACTGGATCCCCCCAGCATCCTTCTTTAAAGCCTTTGATGCCAGCTCTGTAATGCACTACTTGTGGACTTTTGGTCCTTCCCACTTATGCAGGTTAAGACTTTTCTGCTTTAGATCTTGTATCCTAAGCTCCAGCTATGACACAAGCTGCATACACTGCATCTAATGCCTCAAATACATTCCTTGAAAACTACCTGGTTACTGCTAAAAAGCGACTCATCCACTTCTGAGCACATGATCCCTTAAGCTGCATTTAACTACTCATTTATTGCTTATCATAGTTTTGTGGCTCTTTGCTTAGAATTACTTTCACCCAATTGAATGTAAGTTCTGTGAGTGCAGGGATGATTTTTCATTTTATTAGTGATTCTGGCAACCAGACTCCATTCTACCACAGTGACTTGGAAATCAGCAGCCATTCAATGTAATGCGTGAAGTGAATACACAATGAAGGCACCAAAGTAGCTGATGAAGGCTAGAAGAATGTGAGAGGGGAAA